TAACACTGTGTAGTCTAACACTGTGTAGTATTAGAGGTCTGTCCTGTGTAGTCTAACACTGTGTAGTAGTAGAGGTCTGTCCTGTGTAGTCTAACACTGTGTAGTAGTAGAGGTCTGTCCTGTGTAGTCTAACACTGTGTAGTCTAACACTGTGTAGTATTAGAGGTCTGTCCTGTGTAGTCTAACACTGTGTAGTAGTAGAGGTCTGTCCTGTGTAGTCTAACACTGTGTAGTAGTAGAGGTCTGTCCTGTGTAGTCTAACACTGTGTAGTCTAACACTGTGTAGTATTAGAGGTCTGTCCTGTGTAGTCTAACACTGTGTAGTAGTAGAGGTATGTCCTGTGTAGTCTAACACTGTGTAGTAGTAGAGGTCTGTCCTGTGTAGTCTAACACTGTGTAGTCTAAAACTGTGTAGTATTAGAGGTCTGTCCTGTGTAGTCTAACACTGTGTAGTAGTAGAGGTCTGTCCTGTGTAGTCTAACACTGTGTAGTAGTAGAGGTCTGTCCTTTGTAGTCTAACACTGTGTAGTAGTAGAGGTCTGTCCTGTGTAGTCTAACACTGTGTAGTAGTAGATGTCTGTCCTTTGTAGTCTAACACTGTGTAGTAGTAGAGGTCTGTCCTGTGTAGTCTAACACTGTGTAGTAGGAGAGGTCTGTCCTGTGTAGTCTAACACTGTGTAGTAGTAGATGTCTGTCCTGTGTAGTCTAACACTGTGTAATAGTAGAGGTCTGTCCTGTGTAGTCTAACACTGTGTAGTAGTAGAGGTCTGTCCTTTGTAGTCTAACACTGTGTAGTAGTAGAGGTCTGTCCTGTGTAGTCTAACACTGTGTAGTAGGAGAGGTCTGTCCCTGTGTAGTCTAACACTGTGTAGTCAAAACTGTGGGGTAGTAGAGGTCTGTCCAGTGTAGTCTAACACTGTGTAGTAGTAGAGGTCTGTCCTGTGTAGTCTAACACTGTGTAGTCTAACACTGTGTAGTAGTAGAGGTCTGTCCTGTGTAGTCTAACACTGTGTATTAGTAGAGGTCTGTCCTGTGTAGTCTAACACTGTGTAGTAGTAGAGGTATGTCCTGTGTAGTCTAACACTGTGTATTAGTAGAGGTCTGTCCTGTGTAGTCTAACACTGTGTAGTAGGAGAGGTCTGTCCTGTGTAGTCTAACACTGTGTAGTAGTAGAGGTCTGTCCTGTGTAGTCTAACACTGTGTTGTAGTAGAGGTCTGTCCTGTGTAGTCTAACACTGTTTAGTCTAACACTGTGTAGTATTAGAGGTCTGTCCTGTGTAGTCTAACACTGTGTAGTAGTAGAGGTCTGTCCTGTGGTGTCTAACACTGTGTAGTAGTAGAGGTCTGTCCTGTGTAGTCTAACACTGTGTATTAGTAGAGGTCTGTCCTGTGTAGTCTAACACTGTGTAGTAGTAGAGGTCTGTCCTGTGTAGTCTAACACTGTGTATTAGTAGAGGTCTATCCTGTGTAGTCTAACACTGTGTATTAGTAGAGCTCTGTCCTGTGTAGTCTAACACTGTGTATTAGTAGAGGTCTATCCTGTGTAGTCTAACACTGTGTAGTATTAGAGGTCTGTCCTGTGTAGTCTAACACTGTGTAGTAGTAGAGGTCTGTCCTGTGTAGTCTAACACTGTGTAGTAGTAGAGGTCTGTCCTTTGTAGTCTAACACTGTGTAGTAGTAGAGGTCTGTCCTGTGTAGTCTAACACTGTGTAGTAGTAGATGTCTGTCCTTTGTAGTCTAACACTGTGTAGTAGTAGAGGTCTGTCCTGTGTAGTCTAACACTGTGTAGTAGGAGAGGTCTGTCCTGTGTAGTCTAACACTGTGTAGTAGTAGATGTCTGTCCTGTGTAGTCTAACACTGTGTAATAGTAGAGGTCTGTCCTGTGTAGTCTAACACTGTGTAGTAGTAGAGGTCTGTCCTTTGTAGTCTAACACTGTGTAGTAGTAGAGGTCTGTCCTGTGTAGTCTAACACTGTGTAGTAGGAGAGGTCTGTCCTGTGTAGTCTAACACTGTGTAGTCAAAACTGTGGGGTAGTAGAGGTCTGTCCAGTGTAGTCTAACACTGTGTAGTAGTAGAGGTCTGTCCTGTGTAGTCTAACACTGTGTAGTCTAACACTGTGTTGTAGTAGAGGTCTGTCCTGTGTAGTCTAACACTGTGTATTAGTAGAGGTCTGTCCTGTGTAGTCTAACACTGTGTAGTAGTAGAGGTATGTCCTGTGTAGTCTAACACTGTGTATTAGTAGAGGTCTGTCCTGTGTAGTCTAACACTGTGTAGTAGGAGAGGTCTGTCCTGTGTAGTCTAAACACTGTGTAGTAGTAGAGGTCTGTCCTGTGTAGTCTAACACTGTGTTGTAGTAGAGGTCTGTCCTGTGTAGTCTAACACTGTTTAGTCTAACACTGTGTAGTATTAGAGGTCTGTCCTGTGTAGTCTAACACTGTGTAGTAGTAGAGGTCTGTCCTGTGGTGTCTAACACTGTGTAGTAGTAGAGGTCTGTCCTGTGTAGTCTAACACGTGTATTAGTAGAGGTCTGTCCTGTGTAGTCTAACCACTGTGTAGTAGTAGAGGTCTGTCCTGTGTAGTCTAACACTGTGTATTAGTAGAGGTCTATCCTGTGTAGTCTAACACTGTGTATTAGTAGAGCTCTGTCCTGTGTAGTCTAACACTGTGTATTAGTAGAGTCTATCCTGTGTAGTCTAAACACTGTGTAGTAGTAGAGGTCTGTCCTGTGTAGTCTAACACTGTGTAGTAGTAGAGGTCTGGCCTGTGTAGTCTAACACTTTGTATTAGTAGAGGTCTATCCTGTGTAGTCTAACACTGTGTATTAGTAGAGGTCTGTCCTGTGTAGTCTAACACTGTGTAGTAGTTGAGGTCTGTCCTGTGTAGTCTAACACTGTGTATTAGTAGAGGGTCTGTCCTGTGTAGTCTAACACTGTGTAGTAGGAGAGGTCTGTCCTGTGTAGTCTAACACTGTGTAGTAGTAGAGGTCTGTCCTGTGTAGTCTAACACTGTGTATTAGTAGAGGTCTGTCCTGTGTAGTCTAACACTGTGTAGTAGGAGAGGTCTGTCCTGTGTAGTCTAACACTGTGTAGTAGTAGAGGTCTGTCCTGTGTAGTCTAACACTGTGTAGTAGTAGAGGTATGTCCTGTGTAGTCTAACACTGTGTAGTAGTAGAGGTCTGTCCTGTGTAGTCTAACACTGTGTATTAGTAGAGGTCTGTCCTACGTAGTCTAACACTGTGTAGTAGTAGAGGTCTGTCCTGTGTAGTCTAACACTGTGTAGTCTAGAGGTCTGTCCTCTACTACTAGTAGTAGCTGGGTTGGCACTATGGCACACACACAGACAGGCGCACACATGGTGGTAAGAACACATATCCATACATCCCCACACACGGACACATAAATGCTGGAACACACACATACCCACTACACACACACATCACACACACACAAACACACACGCTAGCATGCAAACACACACACATGCTTTACACAGAGGAGTGTTGGAGGGGAGCAGCACCCGGCTGGCCACTATGTCACACACACACACACACACATTCTGTCCCACAGACTGACAAGGCTTCTACACGGGTCAAAGGTTTGTGTGTTTTCCATTAACTATATGAAACTATCAGTCTCCATATGGTACTTCTCTGCATTACTGTCTGACTCAGTTCATGTCTTCCATCATGTATTTCAGCAGTGTTAACATTCTAGATTCAGTTAATGTCTTCCATCATGTATTTCAACAGTTAAAGTGTTAACATTCTAGATTCAGTTCATGTCTTCCATCATGTATTTCAACAGTTAAAGTGTTAACATTCTAGATTCAGTTAATGTCTTCCATCATGTATTTCAGCAGTTAAAGTGTTATCATTCTTTTTTTATGTATTTTACTCCCTTTTTCTCCCCAATTTCGTGATATCCAATTGCGATCGAATTACGATCTTGTCTCATCGCTGCAACTCCCCGACAGGCTCGGGAGAGATGAAGGTCGAGTCATGCGTCCTCCGAAACGTGACACGCCAAACCACGCTTCTTAACACCCGCCCACTTAATCCGGAAGCCAGCTGTGTCGGAGGAAACACCGTTCAACTGACGACCGAAGTCAGCCTGCAGGCGCCCAGGCCGTCACAAGGAGTCGCTAGAGGCAACACAGTGCCTTAGACCGCTGCGCTACTCGGGAGGCAAAGTGTTAACATTCTATTGTTGCAGGAGTAGTAACACCTTTGAACCTTAGGTTTTATTGCTGGTTTAATGTCCTGGAAAACATTGATAACCCCCTGAGTTAATACTAGGTGGAAGCACCTTTGGCAGCCATTACTGCTGTGAATCATTTTCAATAAAAATATCATAACTGGATAAGTCTCCACCCCCCTGAGTTAATACTAGGTCGAAGTACCATTATCAGCCATTACAGCTGTGAATAATTTTCATTAAGATTCTACCAACTTTGACACAACTCTTAAGGCTACACATATACATTGTTTTTGTCAAAATTGCTCAAACTCATAAAATTGGTTTGGGAATAATTTATGGACAGCAATATTCAAACCTTGTCTCTGATTTCCAACTACATTTAAGTCAGGATTGAGACTAGACCACTCAGGAACACACAACACCTCTTGGAGAGCAATTCTGGTGTGTCTTTGGAGTTCAAATTTGTATAATTGTCTTTCTCACTCTGTTAAATTGTCTCTCTTATTATGTTAGGTCAAAGTTAAAACATCAAGTGTGTTTTCTTAGTGAAGGATGGCGCTGCCCAGCAGCCCGGCATTGGAGTTGATTGGTAATGACAGTCTGCAGGATTATTATGAGCCGTCCTCCCCTCCCCTTACAACCCTCCCTCCCTCCAGCTCTAATCTAATGCGTCATGTTGAGAGCTCCTATGTTCTGAAGAATCTGGGGGTGTTCAAGGGTGGGTACCTCCCGGTAGCAATGTCTCCACCCGGCTGGGTATTGTGATGGAGTTAATGAAGATAGGCTCACTGTCAGGTACGTAAATGGCCAGCCTCTCTGGCCCCCCACCCTGGCCACTGGCCTTCCGCCTCGCCCACCAGATCGCTATGGGCATGGAGTTCCTCCACAGCCACTCCCCGACAGTGCTGCACCTCGACCTGAAGCCCAGCAATGTGCTGCTGGATGACAGACTTAATGCCAAGGCAAGTCCCAGGCTCCTGGCTCTGACTAGGCCTCTACTGGTGGGAGAGGGGGAGTTATTAGCACTATAAGCAGCACCAGCAGCAGTTCGGCAGGTCCTCCAACGCGTTCTCCATCACCAGCTCTACGTGCGTGTTCCATACAGAGACAGTCTCCTTCCTGGGGTTCATCGTCACCCAGGGAGACCTACGGATGGACCCAGCCATGGCCAGCGCGGTACTGGATTGGCCCCAGCCCTCAAGCAACTACAACGTTTTTTACGGTTCGCTAATTTTTATAGGTGATTTATTCGCAATTTTAGCTCCCTAGCCGCTCCCCTGACAGCCCTCACCCAGACGAGCGTGCGCTCCTTCGCCTGGACCCCGTAAGCCGGAAACGCATTTATTCATTAAACAGCGCTTTACATCGGCCCCGGTCCCAGGGCATCCTGATCCGTCCCTGCCGTTCATTGTGGAGATGAATGCTTCAGACGTTGCGGTGGGAGCAATCCTGTCCCAGCGGTTCGAGGTGAACGGCAGGTCCTCTGTAGCTCAGCTGGTAGAGCACGGCGCTTGTAACACCAATGGTAGTGGGTTCAATCCCCGGGACCACCCATACACAAAAATTTATGCACGCATAACTGTAAGTCGCTTTGGATAAAAGCGTCTGCTAAATGGCATATTATTATTTATTATTAAAGGCTGGGGCCGTTCGTCGGGTGGGAGAACTGTTACAGGAGGGGGTCGCAGTTCCGGAGCGACACACTAGGTGTCATCCTCTGACAACCTTAGGCACCTCCTCACTCACAGTCTGGACTAATCATGTTCCTATTGGTGTCACCTGTGTCTACCTGTTCACCTGTATATTTATGCCCTCACTTCCCTGTGTTCCCTTGCTCAGTTTTCTCTGCTAGTTTATCTATGTCCAGCAGTACTACTCAGTGTCTGATCAGAGACCTATGCACAGGTACTTGAGAAGTGTTGTCCCTGTTTCGTTATTTGTTTCTGTCGTAGGGAGTATTTCGTATTTTGGGTGTCATCCTGTTTTTGGAGACTTACTTGCTCCACCTTTCTTTTATCGTGATAAGTCCGTTGTTTTGTATCCTGGCTTCGGGACCACCAGTAAAGATCCTTGTTTCACCATATCTGCCTACTGCCTACTGTATATCCTGCACCACACCTGGGTCACACCTCACACCAACCCTTACAAGTGATGTGCTGTGTTGGATTTGCCCCAAACATAACACTTTATATTCAGGAGAAAAAGTTAATGTCTTTGCCACATTTTTTGCAGTTTCTTCTTTGTGTGGAATTGCAAAACCTCCCAGGTCTTTTTGGTTGAATCTGTGTTTGAATTTCACTGCTTGTGTGAAGTACAGAGATGAGGTAGTCATTCAAAAATCATGTTAAACACTATTATTGCACACAGTGAGTCCATGCAACTTATTATGGGACTTGATAATCACGTTTAGTCCTGAACTTATTTAGGCTTAACATAACAAAGGGGGTTGAGTACTTATTGACTCAAGACATTTCAGCTTTTCATTTTTAATTAATTTGTAAACATTTCTAAAAACGTAATTCTACCTTGACATTATTGGGTATTGTGTGTAGGCCGGTGATACAAAATGTAAATTTAATCTATTTGTAATTCAGGCTGAAACACAACAACATTTCGAAAAAGTCAATTGTTGTGAATACTTTCTGAAGGCACTGTAGGTTCTAACTTTACATCTCTGGCTAAGATGGACTTGATAAATGAAAGCTTGGACTGTGGTCGCTATAAACAGCTCATAAGTTCTATAAGCCTCCTAATAATCACAAAGTTATCTTAGAACACACTCACTGACTCACACTACATTGATCCCCATGGTGGTGGCAGCATCATGCTGTGGGGATGTTTTTCAAAAGCAGGGACTGGGAGACTAGTCAGGATCGAAAAAACTATTACATTAGAAGACCTAGGCAACTATCAGCCTGACTTCCAGTCTGTTTGTGCTATCATTCCAAATACTTGTCACTCATTGTCATGGCTTGATAGTGATCAATGGAGTTGGAAAGAGCACAGACAGATCTGGGACCATGATGTTTCAGGCTTTCAGTCAAAACAGACAGTCAGGAATATATCATAAGGGACAAGGTTGTGAAGTGTCTGTCCTATATCTAGGAGATATAAGAAGCTCAGGAAAAATATATACAAAATGTGACACATTTTTAACCCCTTTTTTTGTTGGCACAAAACTACTTCCATTCATTTTTTAAACAGGTTACCTTCAGACGAGTCCCGTGACACTTGTGGGGGTCGTAGAGCAAAACAGAGAAACCCATTGTATAACACCATAACAAAACCATAATAACAGTGCAATTACAGTTGCGGTCATTAATATTGGCAGCCTTTCATGATTCAATATTTTTTCTAATTAAAGTTGAAATTGAAAACTTTTGGTGCACAGGACCAAGAAAAATGAAAAAGTATTATTTTTTTATTCAGAATTCAAATTAATTTGGTTAGAGGCAATTTATTTTAGTTTACAGCGCAAATTATCTCCCCTGTGGTAAGTTGCAGGTAGCATGGCTGATGCGAACCACATGGTATACTGTCCAACGAGGAAGAGCTGTAACTCACTGGTCTGGACAAGAAGCCGTTAATGCAATATTCTCCCAGAAATGTAGAGAACGCATTGATTGGTTCTCTGAAAAGTTATTTTTTCTTCTCTGGGGTTGAAACCTCTCATTGTTTGGATTTGAAAATCCAACAGTTGGAATGGAAGGTGGCGGCGCTCGGGAGCTGTGAATGAGAAAGGGTGCGTTCCACAGCTAAGGCAAGGCAATGCAACAACCAATGGTTGCGTGCCACGTCATCGACAGTGTCATCGACTGGAATATTGCTATAAGATATGTGGTTAGCTGATACTTAAAATACCTATCCAGGCGTTGTAAGATCTGTCAGGCGTCAGCGATGTCTAAGTGTAGGAATGCGACAAGGTCGCATTTACAAGTCACCATGCTAGCGAGCCTGACCTGAAATAACCCCTGCACATCTCATGACTGTTCTTCATCATGGCAGTTATCTAAGGTTTCTCTTTCCCTGTTTGGAAAAATGCAAAACGAGTTTCATAACCGTTCCATTGGATAACAATAGACATGTGGTAAAAGATAAGATAGGTATCTAAAGAGGAAAGACATCGGTACATGATGTCACGAATGGCATCATATTCCCTTAATAGAGCTCTACTTTCGACCAGGACATAGTGCACTATAAAGTGAATAGGGGGCTCTTTGGGGGGAAAAAACCACATGTGGAAATTGAGCAAGTTGAGGTGACTAAACTGCTTGGAGTAACCCTGGATTGCAAACTGTCATGGTCAAAATATATTGATACAACAGTAGCTAAGATGGGGAGAAGTCTGTCCATAATAAAGCACTATCAACAAGGGCCAGTCCTACAGGCCCTAGTTTTGTGGCACCTGGACTACTGTTCAGTCGTGTGGTCAGGTGCCACAAAGAGGGACTTAGGAAAATTGCAATTGGCTCAGAATAGGGCAGCACGGCTGGCCCTTGGATGTACACAGAGAGCTAACATTAATAATATACATGTCAATCTCTCCTGGCTCAAAGTGGAGGAGGACTTCATCACTACTTGTATTTGTGAGAGGTGTTGACATGTTGAAAGCACCGAGCTGTTTGTTGAAATGACTGGCACACAACTCAGACACCCATGCATACCCCACAAGACATGCCACCAGAGGTCTCTTCACAGTCCCCAAGTTCCAGAACAGACTATGGGAGGCGCACAGTACTACATAGAGCCATGACTACATATAACTCAATTCCACATCAGGTAACTGATGCAAGCAGTAGAATCAGATAAAAGATTGATCTATGCCAGGGATGGCAAACTCATTCCTTGGAATGAGTTTGAAACCTGTGATCTATGCTAACTGGTAATGTTACAAAGCCTTGTGACTGTGGTTGTCTGCACAAACCAGATATACCTGTCTCAATGTCTTTTGGTACTAAGCCAAATTCTGAAGTTACAAAGGATTTTAAATATTTACTTGCGTTCTTTTTGTTTTGTTTTTTTGTACAATCAGACTTCATAAAACCATACAAAGCAGGGTCATTATATACTTAATTACTTGCCATGTGTCACGTCCACTCCCGCTCCGGCGCTCGACCTTGCCGGTTTACTAACCACCGGTCCTGGCAACCCATCATGATGCACACCTGGACTCCATCACTACCCTGATTACTTCCCCTTTATCTAGACCTCCCTAGCATCACTATTCAGGTAGTATTGGTTCAGTTTTCACGTCCAGGCGTTTCTCTTGTTTTGTAACGCTCCATGTTCGTTATTATTAAACTCACCATCTGCACCTGCTTCCCTGCGTTTGTTATGTGATGTTACACCATGACACAGAATCATAAGTTACAATGCATTTGATGACCAACAAATGCACAATATGAGGATTCAATCAATTCAAAAGATGTTGTCTATAGTCAATCTTCGGGGCGATGGCTAATCACAACTCAAAAGTTATTTAAATTTGACCAAATTAAATTGTTTGGTGTTGAAATACTGTTCAAAATTGCATAACACATTTCATATTTTTTTTAACTGTCCTCCAACCAACTCACCTGTATGAAGGGTGTAAAGCTGGTCGCGTTCCTGCCGGACTACATTGCTGAGGTTACATTGCTTCAACCAGTGTTGCATGGCATGTCTTAGACTGCACAGTCGGGCATCAGATTGCTATAGCATATGAGGTGTTTAGCTGATATGTTAAACACCTATTCAGGCGTTGTGAGATCTGACAGGCGTCTGGATTGTTGTCGATCTGGAATGTGACTATTATGATTAGCTTTGTGATGTGTCATGGCTGGGGGGAATGAATTTAACTGCACAAACCAGCCCCTTTTCTTCCCTGATCAACAGAACACATTTATGTGAAACTGACATCTGTGCAAAAGAGATCCACCTCCCATTAACCTTAGGTGACACGATCAGTGAATGTTCAGTTCATTACCTGCCTATTTTATAAACAGGTGGGGCCCATAATGACCTAGTTACATAGGTGAGGCCCATAAAAGACAGAACATCTCTTGGCACAGAATAGATTCATACTATAGTCTGACAATAAGAAATACTTTCACTTCTAAAGCGAGCCAACACTGGAATGAATGTGGTCCAACAAGAAAGACAGCAGAAAAAACTTCTTACAACACAACACTGAAGTTCAAATGGGACCCCTTTCCCTAATCCAGACTTTCACGCCTCTAAACCGTAATGTAAAAGTGAGTTAGATGTCATCCCTCCCCTGTCCCAGCTTAATCTGTTCACTATCACATAGAGACGGATGAGATTCTTGCAGAAAGCATTAAGGCTTTTCAGATATATATTTTTTTGTGTTGCCCAAACGGTTTGGACGCTATAGAGAGAAGTTGGCAGATCGGCTGTACCGACTCCAGACGGCTGTGGGGGTCGTAGAGCAAAACGGAGAACACCATCGTATTCGTGAGAGTCTCATCATTATGAGGGCTTTAACAGGTTGAAATTGCCAAATGAGTAACAGGTTGACAATTGTGTGGCTTAATGCCAGCCAAAATTAGAGCCCAACATGTCATAACATTTTAACATCATGACAGATAATGATAACATTTTATTAACAACATAATAACCAGTAACTTGTGACTTTTACACATTTCAGAAAGCAACAGAATCAACACAGTCATTCTGAAATGATAAAACAGTTACAGAGATAACCATGATAATACTTACTTCTCCAAACCAAACCCAAGAGGACTCTGCTGCTCTGCACCATTGGACAGTATGAAGAGTCCTGTCCTGTCCTGTGTAGTCTAACACTGTGTATTAGTAGAGGTCTGTCCTGTGTAGTCTAACACTGTGTATTAGTAGAGGTCTGTCCTGTGTAGTCTAACACTGTGTAGTCTAACACTGTGTAGTAGTAGAGGTCTGTCCTGGTAGTCTAACCACTGTGTAGTCTAGAGGTCTGTCCTGTGTAGTCTACACTGTGTATTAGGTAGAGGTCTGTCCTGTGTAGTTCTAACACTGTTGTAGTAGTAGAGGTCTGTCCTGTGTAGTCTAACACTGTGTAGTAGTGAGGTCTGTCCTGTGTAGTCTAACACTGTGTTTAAGTAGAGGTCTGTCCTGTGTAGTCTAACACTGTGTAGTCTAACACTGTGTAGTAGTAGAGGTCTGTCCTGTGGAGTCTAACATGTTAGTCTATAGGTCTGTCCCTGTTGGTAGTCTAACACTGTGGTATTAGTAGAGGTCTGTCCTGTGTCCCTAACACTGTGTAGTAGTAGAGGTCTGTCCCTGTGTAGTCTAACATGGTTTAGTAGTAGAGGTCTGTCCTGTTGTAGTCTACACTGTGTACAGTTCAAAAAGTAGAGGTCTTGGTCCTGTGTAGTCTACACTGTGTATCTAACCTGTGGTAGTCTAACACTGTGTAGTCGAACACTGTGTATTAGTAGAGGTCTGTCCTGTGTTAGTCCTAACCTGTTATTAGTAGAGGTCTGTCCGTGTAGTTCTAACACTGTGTAATAGTAAGTCAGGTCTTCCTGTGTATTCTAACACTGTGTAGTCTAACACTTGTATCTAACACGGTGTAAGTCCTATAACACTGTGTAATTTAGTTAGTCTGTCCTGTGAGTCTAACACTGTGTGTATTAGAGGTCTGTCCTGTGTGAGTCTAACACTGTGTAGTAGTAAGCGGTCGTCCTGTGTAGTCTAACACTGTGTAATTGTAGAGGTCTGTCCGTGTAGTCTAACACTGGTGTATTAGTATAGGTCTGTCTGTGTAGTCTAACACGTGAATAGTAGAGGTCTGCCTGTGTGTCTAACACTGTGTTAGTCTAACACGTGTTTAGCTAGAGGTCTGTCCTGTTTAGTCTAACACTGTGTATAGTAAGTCTGTCCCCTGTGTATCCTAAACAATACCACTGTGTAGTAGTAGAGGTCTGTCCTGTGTAGTCTAACACTGTGTAGTAGTAGAGTCTGTCATGTGTTCAACACTGTGTATTAGTAGAAGGCTGTCCGGTAGTCTAACGCTGTGTATACGTAGGAGGTCTGTCCTGTGTTTGTCTAACCCTGTGTAGTAGTAGAGTTCTGTCCCTGTGTAGTCTAAACACTGTGTATTAGAGATGTCTGTCCTGTTCATCTAACACTGTTGGGTAGTAGAGAGAGTTCTGTCTGTGTATCAACCTTGGTGTATTAGTAGAGGGTCTGTCCTGTGAGTCTCACACTGTGTATTAGTAGAGGTCTGTCCCCCCCTGTGTAGTAATCTAACACTGGTGTAGTAGTAGAGGAAGAGGTCTTTCAGTGAGTCGAACACTGTGTATTATTAGAGTTCTGTCCTGTTAGGAGCTAACACTGTGTATTATTAGAGGTCTGGTCCGTGTAGTCATACTAACACTGTGTAGTATTAGAGGTCTGTCCTTTTTAGTCAACATGTGTCATAGTAAGGTCTGTCCTGTGTAGTCTAACACTGTGTATAGGTAGAGTTCTGTCCTTGTAGCCTAACACTGTGTATTAGTAAGAGGTCTGTCCTGTTAGTCTAACACTGTGTATATGTAGAGGTCCTGTCCTGTGTAGGTCTAACACTGGGTTTAGTCGAGTCTGTCCTGTGTAGTCTAACACTGTGTAATTATAGAGGTTCTGTCCTGTGTAGTCTAACCCTGGTGTAGTCTAACAACTGTGTAGTCTAACACTGTGTAGTCTAACACTGTGTATTAGTAGAGGTCTGTCTTGTGTAGTCTAACACTGTGTAATAGTAGAGGTCTGTCCTGTGTAGTCTAACACTGTGTATTAGTAGAGTTCTGTCCTGTGCTACTAGTAGTAGCTGGGCTGGGCACTATGGCACACACACACACACACACACACACACGGTGGTAAGAACATACACACATCCATACACCCCCACACACGGACGCATAAATGCTGGCACACACGTACCCACTACACACACACACACACACACACACACACACACACACACACACACACACACACACACACACACACACACACACGCAGTGGTAAGAACACACACGTCTATGCACCTACACACACGCTAGCATGCACACACATACGGACACACACACACAGATACATAACAGATCAGCAACAAAATGAGACGTTCTGTCCCACAGACTGACAAGGCTTCTACAAGGGTCAAAGGTTTGTGTGTTTTCCATGAACTATATGAAACGATCATTCTCCATATGGTACTTCTCTGCATTACTGTCTGACTCAGTTAATGTCTTCCATCATGTATTTCAGCAGTTAAAGTGTTATCATTCTAGATTCAGTTCATGTCTTCCATCATGTATTTCAGCAGTTAAAGTGTTAACATTCTAGACTCAGTTCATGTCTTCCATCATGTATTTCAGCAGTTAAAGTGTTAACGTTCTAGATTCAGTTCATGTCTTCCATCATGTATTTCAGCAGTTAAAGTGTTAACATTCTAGATTCAGTTCATGTCTTCCATCATGTATTTCAGCAGTTAAAGTGTTAACGTTCTAGACTCAGTTCATGTCTTCCATCATGTATTTCAGCAGTTAAAGTGTTAACATTCTAGATTCAGTTAATGTCTTCCATCATGTATTTCAGCAGTTAAAGTGTTAACATTCTTTTTTTGTGTATTTTACTCCTTGTTTCTCCCCAATTTCGTGATATCCAATTGCGATCTTGTCTCATCGCTGCAACTCCCCGACAGGCTTGGGAGAGATGAAGGTCGAGTCATGCGTCCTCCGAAACGTGACAGGCCAAACCACGCTTCTTAACACCCGCCCACTTAATCCGGAAGCCAGCTGCACCAATGTGTCGGAGGAAACACCGTTCAACTGACGACCGAAGTCAGCCTGCAGGCGTCCAGGCCGTCACAAGGAGTCGCTGCGCTACTCGGGAGGCAAAGTGTTAACATTCTATTGTTGCAGGAGTAGTAACACCTTTGAACCTTAGGTTTTATTGATGGTTTAATGTCCCGGAAAACCTTGATAACCCCCCTGAGTTAATACTAGGTGGAAGTACCATTGGCAGCCATTACAGCTGTGAACTTTGACACAACTCTTAAGGCTACATATATACATTGTTTTTGTCAAAATTGCTCAAACTCATAAAATTGCTTTGGGAATAATTTATGGACAGCAATATTCAAACCTTGTCTCTGATTTCCAACTAAATTTAAGTCAGGATTGAGACTAGACCACTCAGGAACACTCAACACCTCTTGGAGAGCAATTCTGGTGTGTCTTTGGAGTTCAAATATGTATAATTGTCTTTCTCACTCTGTTAAATGATCTCTCTTATTATGTTAGGTCAAAGTTAAAACATCAAGTGTGTTTTCTTAGTGAAGGAGGGCGCTGCCCAGCAGCCCGGCATTGGAGTTGATTGGTAATGACAGTCTGCAGGATTATTATGAGCCGTCCTCCCCTAAGCAGCCTCCACTGCTTAATACTTACAACCCTCCCTCCCTCCAGCTCTAATCTAATGCGTCATGTTGAGAGCTCCTATGTTCTGAAGAATCTGGGGGTGTTCAAGGGGGTACCTCCCGGTAGCAATGTCTCCACCCGGCTGGGTATTGTGATGGAGTTAATGAAGATATGCTCACTGTCATGTACGTAAATGGCCAGCCTCTCTGGCCCCCCACCCTGGCCACTGGCCTTCCGCCTCGCCCACCAGATCGCTATGGGCATGGAGTTCCTCCACAGCCACTCCCCGACAGTGCTGCACCTCGACCTGAAGCCCAGCAATGTGCTGCTGGATGACAGACTTAATGCCAAGGCAAGTCCCAGGCTCCTGGCTCTGACTAGTCCTCTACTGGTGGGAAAGGGGGAGTTATTAGCACTATAACTAACTGAACTATTGACTAGTGTACTATTGTCTTGTGTTATTGAGTCATGATTTATTGTTAAGTTAAATATAACTGGATATCTATCTCTCTCTCTCTCTCCTCTGTCAATCTCTCTCTCTCTCTCTCTCTGTCAATCTCTCTCTCTCTCTCTCTTCATCACTCTTTCACTCTTTCTCTCAATCTCTACTGTAGTTTACAGATTTTGGCCTGTCCCAACTTTACTACAGTGTTTCCAGGTCATGCAGAGAGGACATTTGGGAAGCAGGGGTTCAGTTAACTACATGCCCCCTGAGGCTTTTGTAATTGTCATTACAAACCCACCCGTGCTATCTGACGTCTACAGGTAGGCTACGCCCCTGAGAGACAGAACTTTTCAACGAAGATCTGAGGATAGTTGATTCTATAACAGACACTGTTCATTGAGAATGTTATATTACATTGACTATGATTCTCTCTCCTCTGCGTCCTCTCGCTATTTCGCTCTCTCCGCCCTCTCATCTCTCTCGCTCTCTCTCTCTCTCCGCTCTCTCCTCTCTCTTTCTCTCTCTCTCTCTCTCTCTCTCTTCTCTCTCTCTCCCTCTCTCTACTCTCTATTATGTGTGTGTGCATTGGTCAATGACGTCCGTCACCAACTCTACGTCAAGGCGGAGAAGTGCGTGTTCCATACAGAGACAGTCTCCTTCCTGGGGTTCATCGTCACCCAGGGAGACCTACGGATGGACCCAGCCATGGCCAGCGCGGTACTGGATTGGCCCCAGCCCTCAAGCAACTACAACGGTTTTTACGGTTCGCTAATTTTTATAGGTGATTTATTCGCAATTTTAGCTCCCTAGCCGGGGAACGCATTTATTTGCTTAAACAGTGCTTTACATCGGCCCCGGTGAGTATTTTGTATTTTGGGTGTCATCCTGTTTTTGGAGACTTACTTGCTCCACCTTTCTTTTATCGTGATAAGTCCGTTATTTTGTATCCTGGCTTTTGGACCACCAGTAAAGATCCTTGTTTCACCATCTCTGCCTACTGCCTACTGTATATCCTGCACCACACCTGGGTCACACCTCACACCAACCGTTACAAGTGATGTGCTGTGTTGGATTTGCCCCAAACATAACACTTTATATTCAGGACAAAAAGTTAATGTCTTTGCCAAATTTTTTGCAGTTTTACTTTATTGCCTTATTGTAAACAGGATGCATGTTTTGTATAGTTTCTACCCATCTACCAATATTGTAGGTGGCCTTCTTTCTGTGGAATTGCAAAACCTCCCAGGTCTTTGTGGTTGAATCTTTGTTTGAATTTCACTGCTTGTGTGAAGTACAGAGATGAGGTAGTCATTCAAAAATCATGTTAAACACTATTATTGCACACAGAGTGAGTCCATGCAACTTATTATGTGACTTGAAAATCACGTTTAGTCCTGAACTTATTTAGGCTTGACATAACAAAGGGGTTGAGTACTTATTGACTCAAGACATTTCAGCTTTTCATTTAAAATTAATTTGTAAACATTTCTAAAAACGTAATTCTACATTGACATTATTGGGTATTGTGTGTAGGCCGGTGATACAAAATGTATATTTAATCCATTTGTAATTCAGGCTGAAACACAACAACGTTTCGAAAAAGTACAGTTTGAAAAAAAAGTATTTAGTCAGCCACCAATTGTGCAAGTTCTCCCGCTTAAAAAGATGAGAGAGGCCTGTAATTTTCATCATAGGTACACGTCAACTATGACAGACAAATTGAGAAAAAAAAATCCAGAAAATCACATTGTAGGATTTTTAATGAATTTATTTGCAAATTATGGTGGAAAATAAGTATTTGGTCACCTACAAACAAGCAAGATTTCTGGCTCTCACAGACCTGTAACTTCTTCTTTAAGAGGCTCCTCTGTCCTCCACTCGTTACCTGTATTAATGGCACCTGTTTGAACTTGTTATCAGTATAAAAGTCACCTGTCCACAACCTCAAACAGTCACACTCCAAACTCCACTATGGCCAAGACCAAAGAGCTGTCAAAGGACACCAGAAACAAAATTGTAGACCTGCACCAGGTTGGGAAGACTGAATCTGCAATAGGTAAGCAGCTTGGTTTGAAGAAATCAACTGTGGAAGCAATTATTAGGAAATGGAAGACATACAAGACCACTGATAATCTCCCTCGATCTGGGGCTCCACGCAAGATCTCACCCCGTGGGGTCAAAATGATCACAAGAACGGTGAGCAAAAATCCCAGAACCACACAAGGGGACCTAGTGAATGACCTGCAGAGAGCTGGGACCAAAGTAACAAAGCCTACCATCAGTAACACACTACGCCGCCAGGGACTCAAATCCTGCAGTGCGAGACGTGTCCCCCTGCTTAAGCCAGTACATGTCCAGGCCCGTCTGAAGTTTGCTAGAGTGCATTTGGATGATCCAGAAGAGGATTGGGAGAATGTCATATGGTCAGATGAAACCAAAATATAACTTTTTGGTAAAAACTCAACTCGTCGTGTTTGGAGGACAAAGAATGCTGAGTTGCATCCAAAGAACACCATACCTACTGTGAAGCATGGGGGTGGAAACATCATGCTTTGGGGCTGTTTTTCTGCAAAGGGACCAGGACGACTGATCCGTGTAAAGGAAAGAATGAATGGGGCCATGTATCGTGAGATTTTGAGTGAAAACCTCCTTCCATCAGCAAGGGCATTGAAGATGAAACGTGGCTGGGTCTTTCAGCATGACAATGATCCCAAACACACCGCCCGGGCAACGAAGGAGTGGCTTCGTAAGAAGCATTTCAAGGTCCTGGAGTGGCCTAGCCAGTCTCCAGATCTCAACCCCATAGAAGATCTTTGGAGGGAGTTGAAAGTCTGTGTTGCCCAGCGACAGCCCCAAAACATCACTGCTCTAGAGGAGATCTGCATGGAGGAATGGGCCAAAATACCAGCAACAGTGTGTGAAAGCCTTGTGAAGACTTACAGAAAACGTTTGACCTGTGTCATTGCCAACAAAGGGTATACAACAAAGTATTGAGAAACTTTTGTCATAGACCAAATACTTATTTTCCACCATAATTTTCAAAAAAATTAATAAAAAATCCTACAATGTGATTTTCTGGATTTTTTTCTCTCATTTTGTCTGTCATAGTTGACGTGTACCTATGATGAAAATTACAGGCCTCTCTCCTCTTTTTAAGTGGGAGAACATGCACAATTGGTGGCTGACTAAATACTTTTTTCCCCCACTGTAAATGGTTGTGAATACTTTCTGAAGACACTGAAGGTTCTAACTTTACGCTATAAACAGCTCATAAGTTCTATAAGCCTCTTAATAATCAACACACTCACTGACTCACACTACATTGATCCCCATGGTGGTGGCAGCATCATGCTGTGGGGATTTTTCAGAAGCAGGGACTGGAAGACTAGTCAGGATCGAGGTAAAGATGAACGGAGCAAAGTAAAGAGAGATCCTTGATGAAAACCTGCTCCAGAGCGCTCAGGACCTCAGACTGGAGCGAAGATTCACCTTCCAACAGGACAACGACCCTAAGCACACAGCCAAGACAACACAGGAGTGGCTTCGGGACAAGTCTCTGAATGTCCTTGAGTGGCCTTGCCAGAGCCTGTACTTGAACCCGATCGAACATCTCTGGAGAGACCTGAAAATAGCTGTGCAGCAATGGTCCCCATCCAACCTGACAGAGCTTGAGAGGATCTGCAGAGAAGAATGGGAGAAACTTCCCAAATACAGGTGTGCCAAGCGTGTAGCGTCATACCCAAGAAGACTCAAGGCTGTAATCGCTGCTTCAACAAAATACTGAGTAAATTTCTAAAAACCTGTTTTTGATTTATCATTATAGGGTATTGTGTGTAGATTCATGAGGGGAAAAAACGATTTAATAAATGTTAGAATAAGGCTGTAACCTAACAAAATGTGAAAAAAGTCAAGGGGTCTGAATACTTTCTGAAGGCACTGCATATATCTGCACATTGATCTGGTACTGGTACTCCCTGTACAGTGTTGTAAAGTCCTTAAGTAAAAATACATTCAAGTACTACTTAAGTACTTTTTTTGGTATCTGTACTTTACTCTTTTTACTTTTACTTCACTACATTCCTGAAGAAAATAATGTGCTTTTTATTCAATTCATTTTGACACCCAAAAGTGTCCAATTCACACACTTATCAAGAGAACATCCCTGGTCATCCCTACTACCTGATCTAGCGGATTCACTAAACACAAATGCTTCGTTTGTAAATTATGTCTGATTATAATAATATGCCATTCAGCAGACACTTTTTATCCAAAGCGACTTACAGTCATGCGTGCATAAATGTTTGTGTATGGGTGGTCCTGGGGATCAAACCCACTACCTTGGCGTTACAAGCGCCGTGCTCTACCAGCTGAGCTACAGAGGACCACGTTCTGTTATGATAGAGTGTTGGAGTGTGCCCCTGGCTATCCGTAAATTAAAAAAAACAAGAAAGTGGTGCCGGCTGGTTTGCTTAATATAAGGAAATTGAAATGATTTATACTTTTACTTTTGATACTTAATTATATTTAAAAACAAATACTTTTAGACTTTTACTCAAGTAGCATTTTACTGGGTGACTTTCACTTTTACTTGAGTCATTTTCTATTAACTTTACTTTACTTTTACTCAAGTATGAAAATTGGGTACTTTTTCCACCACTGTCCCTGTATATAGCTCCACATTGATCTGGTACTGGTACTCCCTGTATATAGCTCCACATTGATCTGGTACTGGTACTCACTGTATATAGCTCCACATTGATCTTGTACTGGTACTCCCTGTATAAAGCTGCAGAGTGATCTGGTACTGGTACTCAGCATTTACCATGAATGCGATCTCTGTGAACAGGGGAATTTCCTCACAGACACATACTGTATAGACACACATAGGCTGGGATTCAATCCAATACTGTATAAACATACATAGGCTGGGATTCAATCCAACGCTGTATAAACACACATAGGCTGGGATTCAATCCAAGGTGTGTTAAAACGCACTAGACAGCTGATAATGCAACTTCAGCAGACATTCGTATGCATTTACCATTAATGTGATCTCTGTGAATGGGGAAATTGCCGTGGGGGCATTGTCATCTGTCTAGTGCACTGTTCTGTAACACACCTTGGATTGAATCCAGGCCATAGTGTTGTTCTGTACTGCTACCGGAGGTCAAAGCATTGGGCCAGTAACTGATAGGTCGCTGGTTCGAATCCCGGAGCCGACAAGGTGAAAAATCCGTAATTGTGCCTGTGAGCAAGGCACAAAACCCAATTCCTTCAGGAAAGCCAGAAAAATGGCTAACCATGGCTATGACCCCACTCTCTGCAGGTGTCTTAGGGGGGAGTTGGGATATGCAACAAACACATT